TGAAAATAATTATTCTAACTCATTCTATATTAATTTGACTGCAAAAATATTAAAAATGATAATATTATAGTTATTGACAATTTTCAAATAGTTTATAAGGAGAAAAATTAAAGCTTATGTTATTTGTCTCTGTTAAGTATAATAAAATTAACACAATTTGTAGAAGGAAAAAATAGTAGATATATTAATTTTTATGAAAATGATATGTATACATATAAATACTATGAACAATGTTAAACTATACATGNATAGTAGATTTATTAATTTTTATGAAAATGATATGTATACATATAAATATTATGAACAATGTACACGTATAAAACAATCAACAATTCTGTTAAACATTATAAGGAGTTAAGTTAATAATATTTACCTACAGATTTAATGTAATTGAAGCAGATGTAAAAAGAATATTCAAGTAACAAGATTTTCGGAGAGATGAGAGATAAATCGTTATTTATACTGTACGCATAGTAATATTGATGTATTTTAAACATTATTTGTTACTGTTAACCTTAACAAAAAGAGAGTTAATTTTTTCTACTACTGAATTGTTCTAAATAACATTATTTTGATATTGGGGGTAGTCGAGACTGTCTTTGGTATTTCATCATTTTGAGATGTATGAATTAGGAATTAATAACTGTAATGTGATGAGTTTCGTTATTTTTTATTAAATTATACCATTGTGATTTCGGTTGTATTTTATATAATGGTTTATAATAGGTAAGTTAATTTTAATATTAGAATTAAGATTATAATTAAGTGGTATTGGTACTACTCTCTACATTGACAGTTGTATGAAATACGAATGGTGTAGATAGCTGTAGATAGATGTAATATATTAAAATATTATTTTTTCATTATAAAACTCCATCTTCCAAACTAGCATAAAAGTCAAAAAATAATAATTTATTTAAGTTAAAATTGTATAAAAAAAAAAAATCATATAGCCACTTTTTTAGAAATTTTTATTTTAAATAGTTTTGTTGTTATTTTATGGGTTAAATTGTAAGTGAAATGAACGGCTTTGTGATATGATGGATTGTTCAAACATTTTTATCTAATTAAAATAAAAAATAAGTTGTATTAATAATATTACAAATTAAAAATAAAGGAATAACAACAATTAATTTAGTATATATTAGTTATAAAATGCATTTGAAAATACAATAACAGTACATTTGCTGCCGTAAATAATAACATTATTTAATATTTAATATAAATATTTATTTATGTAAAAATTGTATATAAAGGAAAAGTCATAGAGCTACTTTTTAAAAATTTTTTTTTTTTAAATAGTTTTGTTGTTATTTTATGGGGATAAATTATAAGTGAAGTGAGTGGCATTGTGAAATGATGGATTGTTCAAACATTTTCATCTAATTAAAATAAAAATATACTAAAAATTAATTTAGTATATGATAGTTGAAAACTAATTAAAAATTATTATTGAAATTAAGTTTTGGTAAGAGTATCTCTTACAAAAAAAGATTTTATCTATATTTGATAGATAGAATATTTTTTAATAAAAAATTGTTTATGTTAAAATTTAATTAACAATTCTGAGAAATACTGGTTGTATTAGTTTTTTTAAGATTAATATTTTTTAATAATAGAAATTAACTAATTTTGATAATAATAAATTAAAATTCATTTTATTATTATAATTATTGACGTTTTTATATTTCATTTCATAGATTTTAAAATTTGATTGGGCTTAATTATGAAAAACCCGTTATTTAGTTTATATTTCATTAAAAAAATATTCTCATCCAACATCTCCGTATTTTTCAATAAAGGTGTTACTTGTCTTAGTTAATTATAAAATTGCATTTGAAAATACAATAACAGTACATTTGCTGCCGCAAATAATAACATTATTTAATATGGGCAGAGCCGGAATTACCCGAAAAGGGCCCCTAGGCTAATAAGGAACAAACGCCTACTTCTTAGAGCACAGATAGAATGAGAGCTGAGCTAATCACCCGTTTCCAATTTACTTAAAAATTTGTATTTTCTAATGTATAATGTACAGTTACTTTAAAAGTATTTAAAAGTCAACGTGAAAAAATTATGTATTGAAATTTTGTAGTTTATATTATGATGATAAAAAAATCAATCGTGCATATATTATAATTAATGAATAATAATAAAAAATAATAATTATATTTGTATTCTGTTAATAAACGGTTAATTTATTAAATACAATTGTCAACTTACTAATGTAAACAACAAAAATGTGCACCGTTATAAAAATAAGAAACATTTATTAATAATACGTTTGGCGTTTCCTTAATTTGGTTGCTCGATACAATTTATGCGACCGCTGTCGCCGATTATTATTTTAGATAATGTATACCGTCGTGCCGTAGCTACCCTGCCCAATCACATTATATATATATATTGTAGAATATATTCCATGCTATTTTTATAATTTTACAACAGTGAGCAACTAATTTACCAAAATCACTACATTAATTCTAGTAGATGGAAAATTAAATTCGCAGAAAGGAATTATTTCTAAAAAAAAAAAACCCAGTACAGGTGGGTCGTGGCACAGTGGAGATATCTGATAGTGATTAAAATCACTATAAAAAAAAACGCTTCGATGCAAATCTTTAGATAGTGTTTAATTTTAAAAAATTGGTGTATTATTCCAAAAGCTACACGATCTGCTAGTTCCTTATTAATATCCTGATTAAGATATAGTATGTCAAATGAAAAAGAGATTGTTAAAAAATATTATTCCTCATAAAAAATTGTATTGATCCATATATTTTTCAAAAAGTTATAACATAATAAAGTTCAAAATGTAATTTATAAACTCGAGAATTTTCACACAAAAATAGCATTCGGTAGCCGTTTTCTAAAGTAGACCTTTTTAAAAATCGTAATTTTTTATTAACTTTGATGTCTATTTATTATAATATAAATTATATTCATATGTTCACTTTTGAAAAAGTTACGGCAGTTTTTAGTAAAAAAAATTGAAGAAAAATTGTTGAGGGTAATGTTATCGACTAGATACGATTTGTGATCTTTTGACGTATCGTTGAAAGAAATCGGTTCAGTGAGAACTGAGAAAAATTTGTAACAGACATAAAAAAAAACACATCATAGTAAAACCAATACCTTCTCAGCTTCGCATCAAAGCTAAAATCAAGAGTTTTGCTGGCCGCACCGCCCCTTCAAGTTGTGGCACCCCTAGGCTATAGCCTAATTAGCCTAGTCCTGAATCTAGCCCTTTACATGGGGCATGGTGCGATTTGATATAATATCAGCTATAATAATTTTCTGTTATACCGGCTCATTTTTAAGTAAGTTCACGACTTTTAATAAAATTATTGATGAAATAACTACATTCATAAAATATCAGGTATTGAAATATAAAATATTCAGCTATACTAGACCTTTATAAGACACATAAGTAAAATAAATGAACAAATATTATATTGATAAAAATCATAATTAAGAATTTTTTTTCTTGGTATTATAAATATTATTTATCGATTATTCTTTGTTAACGTAAATATGATTGAGTGAAGTGAAATAATTGTAAATACAAGCGTATAACTAAGAAAATGCACAAATTTTTACTTTGAACTTACATTTTATATGATATCAATTTATATAAGGATGAGAATTTTTCATTCTAAAACAAAATTTCCTAAGCATTCTAAGAGAAAAAAATTATTTACAATTATTAATTATTTTAAATCATACTGATATTGTTTTATGTATAGATGGCTGATATTTGTTTTTGCTCTGCCATCTATGCAAGTTGTATTGTTTTTTTTGACATTCGGCAGTGAAGTGAAAAATTTGCACTTAGCAGTCGTTAACAAGGAGATGGAATGGGAAACTAAAGATTGTCCAGTCTACAGTAATTGTACATTTAAGAAGTTTTCTTGTAGGTTTCTAAATAAATTGCCGAAAGACACTATTATTATAGTAAGTTAATGCTAAAATATAAAACATATTTTATTATTTTATTTTTTTAATAATGTCTACTTGAAGGATTTTTACAAAGACATTGGAAGTGCTATAGATGCTGTTCGAAATGGCAATGCCTGGAGTGCACTTTATTTTTCTGATAATTTTACCGAAGCTTTAGTTGCTCGTATGGCATTAGGGCGTATCACAGATGATGAAACTCTAGAACAGAGTGAAATTAAATCGTGGTGTGATATGTCAAGTAAGAAATATTACATATTAAATAATTGATTATATTTGATGTTTTTCACAAAAAAATGCTATTGTCTAAAATTAGAAGTAAAATGTCTTTAGATGGGTCTATTAATTTTGAAGTATTACTTAATTTGTATTCAAATTATATCTCTTGGCATTTTCTGGAAATTATTAAAATTTGTCTGTAACATAAATCTAATTATAAAAATAATGATTTATTCTTTTATCACTCAACGGAATTATTTTTTCGAAATTTATAAAAATATAATATTTTTTGTTAAATTATAAAAATTAAAAGGTATTATTGTATATTTTAAAATATAGAAGTATAATTATAATTTATTTTGGTTTAACTTTGCTAACTGGTTATTTATTTTGGTTTCCTGAGCATTTATATGTATTATTTTCATAATTGTACCTTAGACTAATTCTTACAATTTTATTGTTAATACCAGATTTTTATTGTTATCTATATATAATTGCAAATGTATTAAAGTAGACAATTTTTCCTATCATTACTACTTTTATATATATATATATATAACTTGGCAATTATTTATTTAATGCTGTTATTATTATAACAAGGCAGTTTGTAAAAGTCATGCAACAAATTTTAATGTAATATGAAAATCTATCCAGAGACATTAAGCATAAGAACTGACGTCATCACAACGCCCTCAACTAGCCTCCTCATGTTATCACATTAATTAAATTAACAATTTAATGTAATTAGAATTGATCACTTGTGACTAAGTTTATTTAAAATTAAAAAATATTTCACACAAAAAACATAGAATGATCAGATTATCAAAAGCTACTTGATTACTCACAAAATAAATACAATGATGCAAATGACTGGTCGATAACAACTTTTGGATCATTATATCAGAAATAATTAACAAATTCATATAATGACTGGTGGTGAGGAGTGGGTGCTGCTATTTTTATCGTTAGTCATTTCCCGGTCGTATTCATCGTCCAGCCTAAGTATAAAAATGAGAATAACTTTCAAAGTAATTGTTCAAACATTATTATCAACCAATTACTTTCTTAATTAGATTATTTTCTATTTTATAAATCAGATAAATATGTATGATGCTAATAAAAAAAAATAAAGTTGATACCCCTATAAATTATAAGGTATGATACCAAAGAGTAATTATTAGCTGATAAATAAAGAAATATAAGCAAACTAAAAGAATTCAGACATTTTTTTTTTCAATATTGTATTTATTTTGTAAGTAATCGAGTGATTTATGATAAACTGATCACTCTGTATATTTAATACTGATGATAGTAACACTTCCCAAAATACGTACAAATAACTTTTTAGTAATTTTTTATATTTTATCGTTTTAAATTAATAGTTTAAATATAGTTTCAATCTTAAATAAAAATTTAATATTTCACATAAATTAATAAACTCAAGATTATTTATAATTATTAATGAAATTTTAATAAGTATATAAAGTATTCTAATGATTACTAATGATAACAATTATTAATAGATAAGCAAATTGGTTTAATGTTAAATAGAAATTTACTATTGGCGTACCAAGATTTTGGGCAAGAAATACTAAAAANAACACTTCCCAAAATACGTATCAATAACTTTTTAAATTTTTGAGTTAAATATTTTTTATATTTTATAGTTTTAAATTAATATTTTAAATGTACTTTTAATCTTAAATAAAAATTTAATATTTCACATTAATTAATTAACTCAAGATTATTTATAGTGATCAATAACATTTTAATAAGTATATAAAGTATTCTAATGGTTACTAATGAATACAATTATTAATAGATAAGCAAATTGGTTTGATGTTAAATAGAAATTTACTATTGGCGTACCAAGATTTTGGGCAAGAAATACTAAAAAGTTGTGATGAAAATCCAAAACTTGCTAATATTCCTATTCAAGTATGCAATAACATATTTTTTATTAAAAATTTGAAACATTAATATTTTTGNTTAAACATATTTTTTATTAAAAATTTGAAACATTAATATTTTTGACTGTTATCTAAGTTCAATGAACCAGTATATGGTAAAGCTGATGCCAATTTCTCGAATTATGTCGCTCCCGGGGTTATTTTAGCGTATGTATTTTAACAAAATAGTAATTACAAACAATTATATGTTATATATTAACTAATCTTATATCAGAATCGTGTTCTTTTTGGCCGTCGCACTTACTTCCTCTGAATTGATGACTGATAAAACGGAATTACTACTTGATGGTGTTTATATGGCCGGTAAATATTCCTAATATTTTATTATTTTTAATATTTCTTCTTTTGGTTATTCGTATTTCCTATTTATCCATAATAATATATTAGACAAAATTAATTTTCTTATTAATATACAGAGTGATTTTTTTATCATAACCCACTCAATTACTTACATAATAAATATAATTTAACACTTTTTTTTTTTTTGATTATCATTAGTTACATATTATTCTTGAATTATCAACTATGTGATACTTTTTAAGTTCACCCTTTATACCTGGTAAGGGTGTCAACTTTGTTTTTTTAAATGGGAACACATATTTTAAATTTAATATAATGTAAGGGTGTTAAATTTATAGTAAATGTCATTTGAATTTTTAGTATGACTTTATTTGTTTATTAGATATAAACATTTAAAGTTTAAAATTTTTGAGTTAATATACATGTATAATACACAAATGTTACAAATACAGGTAGCTAATTGGTTTTTCATGATATTGCTATCACAGACACGAAATGTTTATTATCAATTATAACCAACATTAGATATACTTTTTGTATTGTTAGTTAGTGTATTTATAAACTCACAACAATGTACCTTACTATCATTGATAATAACAATGCTGTGTACCTACTAATATCGATATCATAAAAAATCAATTAGCTACCTGTATTTGTAGTTCCTTGTGTATTATACCTATATATTAACTCAAAAATTTGAAACTTTAAATGTTTATATCTAATAAACAAATTAAATTTCATTAAAAATTCAAATGCCATTTACTATTGAATTAAAAACTCAAACATTTTATTAAATTAATAATAATAATGCTGTGTACCTGCTAATATCGATGTCATAAAAAACCAATTAACTCTTTAATATTTTATTAAATTTAAAATGTGTTCCCATTAAAAAAAACAAAGTTGACACCCTTACCAGGTATAAAGGGTTAACTTAAAAAGTATCACATAGTTGATAATTCAAGAATAATATGTAACTAATGATAATCAAAAAAAAAAAAAGTGTTAAATTATATTTATTATGTAAGTAATTGAGTGGGTTATGATAAAAAAATCACTCGGTATATTATACTAAATAGGTCTTAAATATTTCCAAAGTTCACTCAACTATTTAAGGGATTAGAGTTTTTGTATACATGCTATATGCACAGATTTTTATGCCGGTAACTGGTTTGTTGAAGGTTAAATATATCTACTTTTTAAGTGCTATATACATATCTATTATTATAATTATAAAATTTTGCCTGATATATGTGTGATTATTTTTTTATATATAAATATACCTTTATTCAATATAACATTTATATTGAATTAATATATTTAACATATTTAAGTGATTATATAAACATATTTATCAAATAATAATTATACCAACGATATTTTTTGGAGTTTTTAACTAAAAAGAGGATGTGCATCGTTCGAACTCCAAAGATTTTCTCAATATTAAAGTCAAACATTTTCTTTCAGTAAATGTTAAATAATGATATTTAACTTGTTTCATCATATAAAATATTTTATATAGTATCTTTAACCATATTTTGTATCAAATATATAATATTTATTAACGGTTTATAGGTGTCGGACCATTTGAAATATTTTTGTGTCAGACGATTATTCATTTAATAATTGTTTTTATACAAACAGCATTAGTATTAATCTTTATGTTAATAGTATTCCATATAGAATGCAAAGGAAATTTAAGTTTTATCTTTCTTTTGGCTTTTTTACAAGGTATAAGTGGGATTTTTTTTGGTAAGTAAGAAAAAAAAATTGTTTTAATTAAAATATGATTAGTATTATAAGTACTTATTTTTATTTAGGATTGATTATCTCAGAAGCCAGTAAAATAAAAAAAGACGCAAGCCATATTGCTATAGGATGTTTCTACCCTATTTTATTACTCAGTGGTAAATAATTTAACAAATTAAAATGTTTTATCATAAAATTAACGCTGTTAAATTATGTGTTATTAGCATGAAATTAGTTTGGTATATTTTATAGTGAACCACGGGTGTAGTTTAAACTAAAAATATTATAACTTAATTGTTTATGAATACTTAAACCAGTGTTAATGATGCTTCGCTGCAGTATTTCATTTTAGAATACTCTGATATATTGTCATATTCAAACAAAGCTATTAGTGTTGGTTTTTTAATTTCCATTCATTCAAAAGTGATGTTAAATGAAAGAGATATTGAGTGTTTTAGTGTTTTAGTGGTGAAGTCTTACGGGTAATCAGCCGAATCTGTGATGACTTCAAAATGATGTCGCTTACGGCGGTGCAACTAAACTGTGCGTGAGAGAGACTTTAGTGTCGACGTCATAAAAACGATACTTACAGGGGTCAACTCCGTGCGACGAGTGTCTTGCCGTTGTGAAGTCCTTGTAAGTGTTTAAACGTTGACGTCACATACACGAATATGTACTTCCCAACCCTATCCGATAATAGTGTGTACGATCAAGTTCTACTACTACTACGAGTCCTACCGAGTGTTATACAGCTGCGTGTGCTTCCCATACTAAGTCACACTGCCGGCGGGGACCCCCTTAGCCTGTTTACGATAAATGTGAATTTCCCGATATGCCGTTTCATAGGACACGTAGTAGTAGGGCATACAGTAAGCTCCCGGACGATTTGGGTTACCACAACACCTGTGAGACGTGCCCACTAAATACACTCACTTTCATTTGACGGCACCTTTGAAAGTCATACCACACTTTTTATATATAGAAAAATTAAAACTACTTTATAAAAGTAATGCTGAACAATTAAGTGTGTGGAAAAAAAAAAGTACATATATGTCTTTAATCTTTTAAAACTATCACGCTTAATAAACCCCGCTTAACACATTAACTTTTTTTGCCCCCTGAAGTTTTTCACTGTAAAATATTCCCAACAAATACGTTGATAAAAATCAAAGAAGCCATTTTCTTATCCCAATTTCACACAAACATCCATTAAATCTTTAATACCTTATATTGGACATAGAAACCCATACGGTGTTGTTATTATCTAATATTGATCAATAATCAACGACGAATTAATTGGTTGTTTTACTATTTCCTCTTTGAGAGCGTATTAACAAGATTTTACTGTATGAAGTATTGTAATTTAGCGTGTGTAATAATAAAATCAACCGGTTCTTTGAAAACACGTGGTAATTTAATTTACCAATTCGTATTCGTTTTTATTTTATAAACAAAAAATTAATGAGCTTAATTGGATGAGCTTTTCGTGCATTTTAAAGTGACTATGCATTAAGTAATTGTACTGAACCTTGACAATTAAAGTTTTGTTAATTCTCAAATAAAAAGAAATTAATATTTTTATGCTTGAATTTTTTTGAAATTTCTTGACAGGTATCTTATGGCCTATTGAAAGTATGCCAGAAATGTTGCAGAACGTCAGTTATTTACTACCATTAACCATGTCCACAGTATCAATGCGTAATATGTGTTTAAAAGGTTGGAATATTTTACAAGTTGAAGTATATTTCGGATTTATATCTACAATATTTTGGATAATTTCGTTTTGGCATATTAGTATGTACATAAAAAAACTCAAACCTTCGATGACCACAACTACACATTCTATACCATGTAATAACACACCCAAGGAAATTTTAAGTATTACAATTTTATTTTTAATTTTAACAATATGGAATTCTAAGATTATATATTTTTTTAGTTAATCAGAAGAGAAAATTGGAAAATTAAAAGTAATAATTATTTGAACCGGAATATTTATTGATCGATTCGTATTTTAATATATTATTAAAATTTTATAAATATATGAGTTAAAAATAAATTATTAAAATGTATGAGTCTCTGTTTATTGATGAAATAATGAAAACAATAATCATAAACAGCAAAAAATTATTTTCTAAAAAAAATATTTTGCTTATTAAATTTACTTGTAATATAATTACAGGTCACGTTACGTCCTGTAATTACAGTTGTCTGATTCAACTCAACGGTTCTCTCTGACATGAACAACAGCTTTCAAATTCATCAGAACATTAAACAATAATTATAAAAATTATCATAATTTTCTTCAGAGATTACAGAAAAAAAAATGAAAATAATAAAATAGTTCAATTATTTATTCTAATAAAAATTATTTATAATAAAATAAGTTATATGCATAACTATAACGTATAAGTTTTTTAATCTTAATCGGATTAATTAGGGTTTTCTGTCGTAATGCAACAGAAGACTAATTTCAAATTAATAAATAATTACAGAATGATCTAAATATTCTCTATTATTTCTTGAATTATTATTAAAATGTCGAGGAGATAAACCTCGCGAAATTTAATGTTATATTTTAATGTCAAAAATAACTACTGGAACTTACTAACGATCCTTAACTAACACATTTGTGAAATCATTCAATGAGAAGAGACCTCTTTGCGATTTCATTTTTTTGTTTCATACGTCTAATATTTCCAATAATATTAAATTAAAATTAAAATTATTTATTATTAATTTTTAAATATTACAAAAATAACCAATTAAACGCAACTAATTGATATTAATGTTATTGTATTTCATGTAGGAATAGGATTGATTAATAAACTAGAGATGGTTATACAAACATATGATAAAGAAACTTTAAAATTCCCGCTATTCAATTATTTTTAGCTAAAAAATTGTTCATATTTATAATCTTAAAAAATAGTTGTTCTTTCAGAAATATTCATCAAGGTGTCACTAAGTCCATGGTATAATATTGATAATGCGACGTACTCATGCGTCACTCCATATCGCATTTGAAGCTACACGACTAACATAGTTATAGAGTATGCATAGTGACCCGAACATTACCGCTGTAATAATACCGCGTTTATCACAACATGTAATATGGCCATATAATTAGCAGTTATATTCTAAAAGTGTCACCACTCATCATGACGTATTAACAAGCAGCGCAGGATTGAAAGAAACAGGCTACGATTATAAAAATCGGTTATAACTGTAAACTTCGCCAGCCTTAGAAATCTTAATCCTGAACCTCATAGAACCATACCGTTGTATGAGCAGCGGTAAACCGAGAGTATCGGATCAAGATCAAGAAGAAGAAAAACACCGCAACCTTCTAATAGCTGGTTGTTAAATATGATAAATCTGTAGCACAAAATAAAGATAACCAGAACCATATCAAACCACAGTGGACTAGAATTTAAAAAAAAGGATCAAAATTAATATTGCCATAACTTAAAAGTTATTTAATGTTTAAAAAGTCGAATTATCGGTTTATAAAGCCACTGAACCTAAAAGTATATTAATTTTTAAGTTTGAGCCAAGTTAAAATAATATTGACTAATAACATATTGGAACTTGTAAAATTTTTTTAACCATTTTGGTTATTTTTAAACTAATATATATATACGCCTTGATTATTTCTAAAGATTAATTAAAACTATATTCTAAAATGTCTTTTTTAAATCACTTTATAAATGTTATATATATTAGTGTTATTAGTATATAAACAATGCAACAATAGATGATAATAGAGAACACAAAATGAATTCTGAATAAATAACAGTAAATAATTCTGAATTATTCACTATTTTGAAACTATTAAGATAAGTTCGAAAAAAACAAATTCCTACAAGTAGTATTGCCTTGTTAAAAGTTAATTTTTTTTTCCTTTTGACCTATGGTGGATATTGTTGCAATATCATTTGAATTCATTATCATAGTGTTTTGTTACTACCATGTGATACTTATAACTCATTTCATTTATTAGGCTTGGAACTTATACTTCAAACACTGACTATCACTGGTATTTCCATGGTAACTATGTTTACCATTGACCGTGCTTAACCTATATTTTATTATGGAATATGTAGAGTAATTAATTTATCGTTGACTACTAGATTTCTAATAAAACAATAATTAAGTTGAGGATTATTGTTTTACTTTAGTTAGTATTATTTATTTCTTGAATTTTAAATATTTTGGTGGTGAAATGTTTTTCAGGTCAATCCCTTAATTCTTATAAAAGTAAAAACGTCTTTTTTTTAATGACAACATATACTTTAATATATTAAATGTTAGAGAGTGATCCAACTAAAAAAATGTCAAAGCTTAGTTTGTAGCAAATTTTGAAATTATTAACATTTGTAAATATATCGTGGTTCTAATAATGTTTTTTTTTAAATAATAATCATCTAATTAATCCGTATCTGACTTATTGTCATCTATCTCATCATTATCTACCTTATACATTAATTGCATGTAATACTTTGGAAATTTTATTGCATCTATATCTTTTCTTTTTTTCAATAACCATGCTGAAATAAAATTGTGTTAATTTTAACGAAAATATGAAATTAATATTTGATATGTACCTTCATAATACACATATTCTATTCTTTTAAAAGATTCAGCTATATCTTCTATGACATCATCATTCTTGATAACATTTCTTACGGTCCGTCTAAAATCATTTACAGGGATTTTCCCAGTTTTTGACTTATCTTTTCGACGAAACTCTATAAGAAATTTGTTGAAAAGACCCACCATTTTGTTTGGAATTTTGACATATGTATCATTTAAAATATGTGCAAAAATTCTGAGGCTTATATATTCATTTTCTAAAATAAAAATTTAATTTTAAACACAAAAATAGAACAACAAATATTATTTATTTATTCTTTTATTTAAAAATATATTCTTTTAATGCAACAACTATAGTTTAATTAAAATAATTATAGATTGACATTTAACTTTGAAAATAAATCTTAAAGAATTATTTTATAAATATATTAATTTATATTGATAAAAAAATAAAATATTATTTGTTTAATTTTATGAAAAAAAGGAACAAATGGGAAAAGATCCTTTGTAAATTACATTGTCAATTAAATAATATGAATACAATTAATAAACAATTACTTTTTTTTTTTGGGATTTTAATTTATGGCGTAAATTTTCTTTCAAATAATGATTATTTTGTTTTCATCGTATTAATTATTTATTAATTTATAATCGGTTAAATACTCTTAAATCTAAAATAGTATTTTAACTTTTACTGAAAATAAGTTAAGTTTTAAGAAAAAAGTTTCTTATTGTTTATATTTAATTTTTTTCTAAGAAATCATAAGAAATATATTGCATTATTAGATTACCTGGTGTAAAAAAATAATTTAGGTTTTGTAGGACTGAAGAATTTTTAATGTGGTTTTCTTAAAAACCAACTTAAAGTTCACTAAAGATCAAGTAGGGCTCTAATTAATTATGATTAGTGAATTGGGTTGCCAATACTCAATGATTTTTTTTTAATTAAAGTTAATTTAAATAAATTTAAAATAATTAAATTTAAAAACCTTTAAAGTAGTATAACTTGAGTATTTTAATTGTGTTAAAAATTAAAACAGTATCTAGCTAATAAAATGATTTACCGATAATAAATTTTGAATCAGTATTTTAAGAGTTAAGATTTTTAAAATATCAATTTTTTTGGACTTTTTTGAATTATTATGTCTCAAAAATATTCTATAAGTATTTCAAGTCAATCCAATAAAAATTTTTCAAAATATTTTACAATTACTGAAGGGTTATCGGAACCGTATAACAGATAGTAGGTTGCAATTGTAAGCAACCTGTTTCGATTAGCCTATTAATTCTAGAAATAGTCTTGTTACATATTTAAAATAGTTAAAATATTTGATTAGACATTTGTATATCAGTGATATGTATACTAAAATATGTCATAAGACACCACAATATGTTATAATAAATCATAAAAAATTTATAAATCAAATTATCCCTTAACTGGTATCATGGGGTCCAAAAATACCCCGATAAAATTATTTTTTGATGATAACATTAATGAATGTTATCAATTAATTTTTAACCTCCTTGTATTCTTCAATCATGTGTTTCAGTATTGTATACATCAAAAATATTTGTTATAACATGATTGTGTTATTGTAACCTTAACGAGAATACCCGGAAAGGCAGAATACTTGGAAGGCAACAGTAAATTTAAATTTTGGAAGTCTTCACACCGGGAGACGCCCTATTATATTGCCCAGGATTTGATGATTATTTTTTAGTTTTCAACAAAAAAATTGTGTTATTCGAATTTAGTGGAACAAAATACATGAAAAAAGTTTAACTTCATCCATCGAACTCAAAATTTAACAAAATACTGTATCTACATCGAAATATATAAAATGCGCTTTCTGGAAACTGTGTTTTTCAAGTCAGTGACCAGCATAATTCAAAAATCATTTTATGAATTTTTACAGTTAATTAACAACACTAAAAACTAGTCATAGATTGAAAGATTCCCTTTTTTTATTCAAAATTTTTATTTCTATTTAGCAATTAACTAATGCATTTTAGTTATATTAATATATATATATCTATTATATAACAGAATAAAATAATTAATTTCGTATCTCTTTAATGAATCATATTATTAATTATTTTACGTCGTTATCCTATTAAATATTTATATTTCAAAACGAAATATAAAAGTAAGTATTGTCAATTCCTGATTAGATGTTATAAAATTTAAATTCTCCATTACCATTGAATTGTTCCAATTTTGTTATTATTGTTATTATTGTTGTGTTATTGTCTTTAATTGCTTTCAAGTTTTTTAAGATATTTCTAATTGAACAAATATTTTCTGAGTCTGGAAAAATCTTTTCAATCATTTGGTTTATTTCTTCAGGTATTACATTGTGCTTGATATTTAAAAAAAAAAAACAACTAAAAATTCTTTTCCAAATATACATTTCTATAATATGTAATTATTTACTACAGATCAGTAGAGAAATTTGACAGATGGCTAACCCTACTAAACATTATTGTGGTGCACATTATTACTCAATTTAGAAATCAATCCATTTTGAAAAAGTTTAATATAATCATCTAAACAGATAATTATTTCGACCATATCTTTACAATTGGTTCATAGAGACAAAAATAATATAAAAGCTTTGAAACTATAAAAGTCGACAAACACTTATTTTCCAGCCTTCTGAGAGGAAATGTAAAAGGAAAAAAAGGGTTTTCGCGTATTTTTGTATTTATTGACAATTTTAAAATTAATAATATCATATTATATGAATTTAATAATCGTTTT